ATTTATCCATATTGAGACTTCATTTTTTTCCTATTGCTGTTCATAACTTCTTTTTTGATATTACCTTTTTCCTCTGATGACAGAGGTGGGGTCTCTGGGCTGAGGCCAATGGGATGAAGTTCAACAAGGCCAAGTGCCGAGTTCTGCACTTTGGCCACAATAATCCCAGACAACAGTACAGGCTTGGGACAGGGTGGCAGGAAGACTGTACATAGGAAACAGATCTGGGGGTACTGGTCAGTGCTTGGCTGAACATGAGCCAGCAGTGTGCCCAGGTGGCCAAGAAGGCCAGTGGCATCCTGGCTTGTATCAGAAACAGTGCAGCCAGCAGGAGCAAGGAAATGATAATCCTTCTTTACTCAGCCCTGGCGAGGCTGCACCTTGAGCGTAGTGTTCAGTTTTGACTCCTCATTACAAGGACATGGAGGCCTGGAATGTGTCCAGAAAAGGGCAATAAAACTGGTGCACAAGGGATCTGGAGCACAAGTATTAATGGGGAGTGGCTGAGGGAGCTGGGATTGTTGTGGGAGTGAGATCTAGCCTTGGGCAATTGAGACAGCTTTCACAAAGTTTTCCCTGTACCAATTTTACTTTTGCATGGACGCCAGACAACAACTTCTTTGTGAAGAATGAGCTGCCTTGCCAGTTGCAATCTTTTGTTAGTTAAAATGTGATTATGAATCAGAATAATCCAAAGGGAGAGAAGATAGTTGGTAGGAGCAAGAATCTACTTTGAAGCATGTTTGCAGAGACAGCAGCAACACTTGCACGTGCACATCTGCTGTAACATCTGGCCTCTGGCAGAGATCTGCTTCCCCTGATAAGAATAATATTACACTAACTTAAATCACACAGGTAATTTCCAGCAAAGAACGTGTCTCTGGATAATAAGTTGGCTTACCAAACATCTGACTATGAAAGCGCTTGTGTTGGCAGTGTTCATTCCATCTGAAAAAGTCTCGGTGTTCAATCTGTGAGCACGTGCAGTGATTTTGTGTAGTAGCCAGGCTGTACAGAGCAAAATCTTTCCTCAGATTAGATTGCCTTCTATTCTGGGGGGTCCATATTGGACTACAAAGTATATTGGAATATCTAAGCTGCTTTAGTTGGGGTACAGGGAAGAATGTGCTCTGTAGTGCCACGCTGTTTCCAAAGGAGAGGAGAAGAAGTTGTGCTGGTTCTAAAGTGGCATGAGATCGACCAAACCTAGGGAACATTGAAAAATAAACACCCCTCATGACTTCTTAAATTGCAATATTAGAAGATTTGAGCCTGAAGGTGCTAACAGGGCATGTAAAATGAATGGGCCTGGGCTGTTGTGTTTTTTCCTTCCCAGCTTCGTGCTACTGAGCAGATGGCAAATTCAGCTATTTCCAATCAGCTGCTGGCATTTAAAATAGCTTTCAGAACAAGACAACTTTTGCTGGTAGGAATTTACGGATTGTTTAGTATTTTCAGTTCGAAAGCCACATCTGCCATTGTACTGGTTTTGAGGCATTTTTGCTTTGTGATTTAAAGACTGTTAAGCCAGCAAGTTTGTCATAGCTATTAGCACTTCTCTCCTTTTCTTTCTTTCTTTAATTCTTCACCATTGTGCTCATTCCCAGAGTTACCTGCCTCTTACTCTTTGAAACTTGAGCACTTCAGCCTGACTTTGCTACAGAGATCCTCAGAAATCCAGGTTCTTGCGACTCCCAGCATACCCTCCCCAGACTTCCCCTCCTTAACAGCCCTATTCCCATGGCACTTCTGACTTAGAGTTTTCAGCTCATATATGCTCATCTCTTGCCTTCCAGATACCCAGACTGACTAGCCTTTGGCGATTGCATCCAAGTCATAGAATCATACAGTCATTAAGGTTGAAAAAGACCTCTAAGATCATTTAGTCCAACCATCCACCTACCAGCAGTATCAAGTCCTGCCAGTTTCCACACTTGAGCTAAAAGGACTTTTCCCTCCCACTCCTTTCAAGGTGAAGAACAACCCAAAACCGAGTACCTTTCTGCTTCCTCTCTGTTTGAAGGCGATGGACCAGATTTTGATGTGTAAAAGCACTTTTTGTCAGAAGCAAAGAAGCTGTGCCCATCATCTCGATGGTGTTGTAATCAGTGAAATTACACAGTAGAACTGTTAGTGACCTTGAGCTAAATATCCTCAGCGGTAGCTCCCAGGGCAGTGTATTCCAGCTGATACCTGGCTGCATAACTAGCTTTTGTGGGGAAGCTAAGAGCAGCCCCACAGCTGCTCCTTCACCTCTGCAGAGAGGAAGATAAGGGATGGAGGCAGCACAAGGTGATGCTGGCCAAGCTCCACTGCTGCGAGCATGCTTAGCTGCAAGAGCACAGGGTTTGGCATGGTGACTCCTGAGATTATACGTATTTATCAGTTCTCAACCGCAGCAGAATTTGGGAGACATCTGTATTTCCTGCACATAACAGAAGGAAGATATACTGCTATGATATTAAGATTAAGTATTGCTCTTTCTCTTCTTTGACAGTCGTAACGCAACTCTTGAGGCATCGTATATCTCTTCCTAATGAAGTGTCAAAAATATTTACCTTCAGGACAAATTAGAAGAATAGCAAACATCCTTACTCCGTATTAAGGGAGTTGGTACATGGATGTCAGCAGCTCACAAGCTCTCTCTGGTGGTCCCTCACAGCTGAACAGTGCTCAGTGTCATCGTTGGGTTTGATCTAAATAAAAATAGTGATTAAAAAAAAAAAAAATAGGGGGGTGGAGGGGGGAGAAATGAAAATAATAAAGTTAGAATATTTGAAATTGGAATCTGATCATTTTTCCAAGTTCCTCAGGCAGTTCTGCACCTGCTTTGCTCATCTGCATGTAGATGGTTTCTGCTTTGGAAATAGCCAGAATTTTAATGATGCGGAGGCTGTTTCTCTAGAGTGCCACTAAGTTCTCCTTGCTTCTGAAAATGAACCTGCAGCCTTTCTACCAGCCTTGGGGGCCTGAGCTGCAGGATTCAAACCTCCGCATGCTTAAAAGTTGAAAATGTCTGTACTGTAGAAGGTTTCATCCACGAAACTCAGCGGCGTTTCTTCCAAGCAATTGCAGCAGTGTCATGACATTTATTCAGAAAGAATGACTTAGGTAGTGTCCGTGCCTGTCATACTGATACCTTAATTTAGGTCCAAATTTGTTTGTCCTTGGTAGCACAAGTGTGAAATATTGAAGGTGAAATTGATTTCCGTTGTTACTGAAACAAACAATTAGAAGTCATGTCCTTCTATTGACGTAGAATTTGCTACTATGAAAAAAATAAAAGCAGTAGGCTCACTGCTCAACTGCAGCAATCTAGAGCATTCGTTTTAGCACCAAAATTGGCTTGTTGTTAGAAGGGCACAGTGCCCACCCTGCAGGGCAGCACTGGGAAGCAGTGAGTTGGTTGTTTTAAAAGGTTGGCTGCTCTGTGTCCCCATGAAGATATTTCCGAGGATGGTTTTTGTCTCTTGGACAGCACACATGAGGAATTCTGCACGTTACTTTGTGCCTATTCAGGATCCCTGGCTGCTACACTCAGAGAGTTTGTGATCTCACCCTAAGTGAGACAGCCACTGCCATTGTGGGAGTCCTTGCATTGGGCAGTTCTGTGGCGTGCTCATTGCCTCCAACTAAAAGAGGCCAGATATAACAACTTAGCTCTGTGTTACTCTCTCTGTTCTACAAGAGCAGCCAGAGTGGAAAGTGCAGGCAGTTTTTGACACCTGGGCCAGCGGTACCCCTCTGGAATGGCTGTGTCCTGAAAGCAATGCACTGTGCTGCAGGGACTTGCATCCTCACTGACAACCCCTGAAAACTAGCCAGAAATAAAGATAGCGTAGGAGTTGGTGACAATTCACACCTTACAGATTTTGTTCACTGAAGGTGAGAAAACAATTAATGATGATTAATGGCCGTCTATCTAAGGCGTAATGACCTTGCACAGATGATGCTTTTCAGACAGACCGTGGCATACCATGGTAAACAAGCTCTTAACACTGACATAAACCCTGACTGGATTTTGATTGTTTTTGTTTTTCAGTCTTGAGGAATTACACATTACACAGAAAGACATCCACCTTTCTTGATGGTGAGGACGTTTTTCCTCCAACGCTCACTGAGGCTGCAGACTTAAGATGCTGTGCCAGTGCTTTGATAAAAGCCTCTAATAGATGCCGAGGCATTCTAGCTGCTGAGGCAGTGCCCAACCCAGCAAGTAGGCAAAGGTACAGCAGCAATAAGCTGCTTCTCCCTGACTTCTTTCTAGATGAGACACGCATTCTAACGGTCCTTTTATCTGAATATAGGAACTGCCTTTTGGAGTGGAGCAATGGGGTAGGTGTGGAGGACTCCACGAGGCTGTTAGGCACAAGGTCCAGGTTAGAACAGCTACAGGAGCAGCTTCATTGATGCCAGTGCTGTGTCCTACCTCCTCAGCAGCTCACTGGTGGGAGAGTGCTTTGTGTCCTGCGCTGTGGCCATCAGGTCCATTGTGCAACAATACTGGGATGCTTAAAAACAAACAAACAAACAAAAAAGATAAAAATACTCCAAAATTAAGTGCTCAATTGGTGAGAATGAAGAATGCCTTTAAAAGAGGGATGATGTTCTTGTCTGTGTGGCATGTTGCTCGTTTTCTCTTTCCTATTTAATATGTGCTAGCAAGAACTCAACAGTGGCTGTTTCTCAGGATTGTTCTGTTCTTACCTCTTCAGTTTGATGCAGACCTGGAAAGTCCTTTTATTTTATTTTTATTCTAACAGTTTGGTGCTAACATAGGAGAAAGAAATTGCTGGAAAAGCAAAACTGTATGCGGCAGAGTTAAATGAACCATTCACAGTAATAGCAATATCTGCTCTCTGGAATCTGATGTTTTGAACGTCAGTGGGAAAGATTTGCTGGACCGACGTGCAACTTTATTTAAAGGACAAGGTTAATGATTCTTTGTGTGAATATTTATTTTATTTGCCTGTGCTTGTTTTTATCTTTTTCCCTATTAGGCTGACGATAAAGACACTGGGAATTACAGTGCCATGCAATACAGGCTCATCATTCCTCCAATCAAGGATGGTAAAGAAGGTTTTGTGATTGAAGCTTACACGGGGCTAATAAAAACTGCTATGCTGTTCAAAAATATGAGAAGATCCTATTTCAAGTTTCAGGTCATTGCGACTGACGATTACGGAAAAGGACTGAGCAGCAAAGCAGACATACTTGTAAGTATGAGCCAGGCTGTATCTTGTTAGAGCGATGAAATCTGAACACTGCATAAAGCTTCATTCTAAGCAGACCTCCAGGAAGGCCATAAACAGTGTACTTGATCTTTACAAGTCACTGAAATAAAATTCTTTGTTAAATCAGGAGCTTTTATGCCTGTCTGAAATACCTTCATATTTCAGGACAGAGGTGCTGATCTCAGTTACCACACCTGACATGGTGTTCAGCATTTTATTTGTTCAATGAGCAATTTTTAATGATTCAGTTTGAATTATAGCTGTTTATGTTAAGTGTGGGTTAAGTTATATTCTGGGCATTCTGGACCCTGATGGCAGAGAATAAAGTGATTGTGCATTGTAAGTATAAGGTAGGTCAAATACCCAACTGTTTACAGATCTGCTCTATCTGTTCTCTGAGGCAGCAAGGTGCACTCAGAACCCATTCAGAATATGTAAAGCAGAGCTAGTATGTCTTAAAACCCTAAAGAATAAACCAAGTAAAAGCTCACTAACTTGGTCTGCTTGTTAAGGTCACTACAGAGCTTCTTGGTCACAGTTAGACGTCTGCCTGGCATGCAGTGCAGGCACAGAGCTGAGCAAACAGGCTCTGAGAGCTATGACTTGTTCTTGTGTGGAAGAGAGAGGCAAGAAATAACTTTGGGCTAAAACTTCACTTGAAGCTTTCAGGGAAAGCGACAATTCAGAAATGGCATCAGCTTCAGGCCCTGACTTCCTTTTTTGTGCTTAGTAAAGGACATTGACTTAGCCCACTAACAGGAACCATCAGAGTTAATTTCTTCAAAGCCCGTATAGCATGATGGATTGGATTGTTATTAGCATAATGTTGTAGGGATGAAGTACATTATCTAGTTCATGGGAACACTGTCAAATGATATAGATGATAGCCATAATACTTGGTGTATTGAGTTATGCAGTAATTGAGCAAATAAGCATAACGTATGATGTCCTCATGCTTGGCCTCCCAAAATGGCAGGGCATTCTCCTGCAATGAGTGTGGGAAAACTAGATTCAAATATGGCCAGAAAGTAATGACGTTAAAATTAGGAAGCGACGTTTGTCTCATTCATATATAGAGATGTATTTAGGTTGTCTTAGTGAATGATGGGCAGTCTGGCACAGTGTTCTTGAGCAATTACAGACTGACACTATATTCTAACATGAAAGTTTAGGCTTTCACTGAATGTGATCCATACACAAAGATCCCTTCTAGCTGGACTAAGTGGGCTTCATAGCTTCATAGCATTTGACCTGCTGCCAAGAGACACTTGTGTCAGTGTCAGGAGTTCAGACTGGAAGGTGTTACTGCTTTTAGTGCAAGTTAAAGGAGTGCCTGTGGATGAGGGAAGTGAAATCAATTGCTGACATGCAAAAATGTGTGGGAAGAAGTTAGAATTGCACTGGGAGAAGAGCAACACCAAAGGGACAGAACAGCAAAGAATGGGGCAGAGCCAGGTATTCTCCAGAATCAGGATCAGAACAGTGCCTCCATCTGCTGGCACTGCTCTGTGAGCAGCATAAACCACCAAATCCACTGGTAAAATGTCTTTGTACTATAGGGACTGCTTCACATAGAGGCTGCCTGTCTGTTCTGCTAGCTGAGACTGGCAAGGTGGCTCAAGTCAGATATCTCAGGCTACGGTTTGGGTCTACATGATGAAGTTTTCCTTTATAGCTTCAAGATGAAAGGAAGAAATAGGAAATGACACTTCATAATGAGTTTGCTGCAGTTAAGCACTTAAAGTCGTTAAGGTTGGACTGTGACTATTTACTATGGTATCATCTTTAATCAAAGGATTGTTAGAATAGTAGGGCGTCACAGGACTCCTTCCTCATTCAGCACTCAGCATCAGTTACTCCCAGAAGTCAGGTTGTGCCCCAGTGCTTGGCCTACAAAAAAATGGGAAGGTGCCTAAGGAATTGATCAAAGGGAGAACGCTTACGGGCTTGATGCCTTCCCAGCCTCTGCCACAAACATCCAGTTTGCTCTGCTACTAATTTAACATATTCTGAAATGTTCCTACTTCTCAGCATGTCTTCTTCAGATACTCACAGACAGGAGGCATCTGAGCATGCTGACTGCCAGCTCTTATGCATTAAGCTGGTGCCTGCTGTTTAGCATCGCGGGACCAGATTTTTTGCTCGGATTATGGAACAGCAAAAGCTTTCCAAGGAACGGTGGTTTGAAGGGTCCCAGGTAACTGTGCCCCCACCACAGAGCAGTGAGGTGGTACCTTTCGCTATCTCACACCTTCCACCTCTGCTCTGAGCGTGTTTCCACTCCTCAAGTGGAAATGAAAGGAACAGTTTCTTCCCACAGCTTATCTCAGAACAGCGTTAGTTAAATCTGACACAGTTCCCCAGCTTAATGCTGTTTTATAATTGAAAAGAAAAGAAATTCTTTACGAGTGCATGTAGTATACAGGTTAGTGCTGCAGTGGTTTTTGTTCCATGCCGCTGGTTTGCTGTAGCTTGTCACAAATCTGTTTCCCTTTGTAAATCATAATTGTGGTTCCTTGAGCTTGAAGAGACGTTTTACATTCATGCAGTACTCAGTAAATAAGTGCAGCCATTGCTTGAATTGCGTAATGTAGTTAAGTATATTAAACTGTTCATTGCTTTAGAGCTCCTTTTAATGGCGATAGTCTAAGATTTATTTTGAGCTCATTACAATTCTGTATTTCTCACGCAGAAGTCTGTACTGCTGATCAGTGCATCTGATGACATTTCAAGAACGTTTGAATATTTCAAGTTGAATTAAGCTTCAAAGCTTAAACCACTGTTTGATGTGAGAGTATATTCCAGCTTTTCTGCTGAAGTGCTTGCAGGGCTCACACTTCCCTTTTGAAAAGCGCACAAGTTGTTCTTTCTGTTAGAATGGAGCCGAATATCTCTGATTTTTAAATGTATCTCTTTTAACATTGTCCTACTTACTTTTCCAAATTTAGCTCTGGAATCCTCTGTAGACAGGTGGTACACAGGGTGTGATGTTTGCTGTCATCAGCAAGCTGGTCGTGCTTGTGAAGAGCTCTCTATTGCAGGAGGCAACAAACATTTTAGGAGGAAACCAGCACACATTTCACCAGAAGGCAGCCTTTGCATTGGATCATGCTAAACATAGCTCAAAGAAACTAGATGGGGAGACGTGGAGCAGTTTGCCAGCTCTGCTGAATGTGTTACACAACTTGTAGGCCCTTCTGCACGCTCATGCTCCAACCTGTCATTGAGAAACAGAAGAGTTGCATGCTTTTGTGGTAGAAAATGCTGAGCTGAGAGTTTTTATCCCATATAGAGAGAGACGTTAAAGGAGTTTGAGGTAAAAGAAATACTTGCACTGATGGCTTCATTCAAAATAGATCAATAATTTAATTTTCTAACAAAGTATAATTTGATCTAATTGAATTAATCTGGTATTAGCACTTACCTTGGTGCAAACTGCATGTTTCCAAAGTTGGATTTTCCTGTCACATCATCAGAAATGCTGAAATGCTAGTAAGTGATTTTGAATGTGGCATGTGGGAGATTCGTGATCCTGTAAGTAAATGCTAAATTACAATTTCCTTCCAAAAAGCTGCACACAGTTGGGATGCGGATCTCCACTTACAGTTGTGGTTAAATATTTGCCTGCAGTTTATTGGTTCTGGCTGCCAAGCAAAGCAGGATTTCCCAGCTCTCTTACTCTGCAATTAAATGAGAAGTTGGTACATCAGCGCATGGCTGTGAAGGCAGGAAAGCAATTATTCCATTCTGTTTGTACAGAGAGGATGTTACACGTGGAAGTGCCAATTGAATTTCACTCTTTTGTTTCCAGGTCTCTGTGGTCAATCAGTTGGATATGCAAGTCATCGTCTCTAATGTTCCTCCCACCCTTGTGGAACAAAACAAAGATCAACTCATAGGGTAATCAATTTACTTACTCTACAAATATCAGACAACTCACTGGTTTTGTGTTTAGATTCAGCCAGCAGTTCTCCCTTTGTGCCACGATCTCCTTGTTGCCAAAAGACCTGAAAGTAAGCAAGTGTTTTGGTGTGGGTCACAGTAGGCTAGGTGATGGCAATGGCTCCCCAAACCCACCATTTGCTCCTCCTCTGGAGGGAGGCAGAGCTAAGCACGTCTTTGCTTGTATTCTTGCCCGCTTTGCAGGCTCAAACTAGGTTCAGAGTTGTCCCTCAGAGCACGGTGGAGCCTCCAAATGCTGATGACACAACATACACTGGTGAAAATCCGGGATGTCACATGAATAAAGTGTGACTCCACGAGGCTGAGGCAGTGTGTCCACTGAGGGGTGATATGGCTTCAGGTGTGATTTTATTTGGGTGACGTCATTATAGGGGAAAACAGAGTTTAGAAAATTTCTTCAGCTAGAATCAATACCACTAACATAACATAAAAGTAATAGTGAAAACTCGGTAACGGGGTGTAATTATTGAGCTGTGTTGAACATAACATGCTGGGGGAGAGGAGGACAGGTCATTGGAATCATCAGTGCCTCACAGTTCAGGTGTGGTATTTTATCGTACTCAGAAGCTAACAATAAACCTTTTAGTAAAATATGTTTTAATAATGCTCATACGTGTCAGCAGCAGCTTCCAGGAGCCAGGTTTTCATTTCTACTGTCCTTTAAAAAGGCAAGTATAGTTTTCTATATATTATGTATGGCATGTAACGATGAACTGGACAATATAGGAAAGAAAATGCTACAAGTGGTTACAAACATTTTGGCATCACTGAGTTCAGTGATTATCAGTACTTCTCAGATTTATACAGATCTGATCCATCCTGACTACTGTCATACCTTACCAACTCCATAGCAATTGAAATAGCTTGAGGGTGATGATGGAATCCCTCACTGAAAAAGAAGTTTGTTGTCTAAATGGCTCATGTCTTCACTGGGCTGGGAAAAAATAGTCCATGGATTCATTTCCAGATGTTTAGGACGTGTTCTGTCTTTGTTACAGTTTATCTCTGATCGATCCTAACATCAGAAGCTTGTTAAGTTGCTCAGGCAATAGCATGTGCTTACAGGGACTCCGCTTCCTGGAGCAATGAATAATGGACAAATCTGCTTGCTTAACACTGAGATCTTGCTTTCAGAAGTGTTGGTGTTGACTGGATAGATGGAGAACAGCATATCTTTTCTTTACAGTAATATGAAAAGTTGGCCTTCGCTTTCCTAACCCTTCAAGGTTGCTTTACTGTACGCAGATTTCTTTTGTAGCTTCTATTTTGTGCAGACAGGTTCAGATCTTACAACATTAATTTGGATTTAGGCTGCGTTTGAGGTCCTCTCAGTTCTGGATTGTCATGCAGCCAAAGGAGCTGCCAGCAAACCAGAGCTTTTCCAGAGGGCAGTTTGAAGGTGGGGTAACACAAACCTGCCTTGAAAGAAGAGTGTCAAATGCATGACGTGTTGGGGGACTGAGACCATGAACGCTGGAACAGGCAGCATAGCAAGAGCAGCCAGAGCTAATATCTTCTCAACCTTTCTTCATCCCTGCAAAAATCTCCTTGTTTAACCATTGGAACAACTTGTTTCCAGCTCCCAGCAGATGTCAGCAGTGTTCACAGCCCACACTGTACTGTAGCCATCCCCTCAATGCTTTCCTCCTGGGTTCAGTGTCTAGCAAAGCCTGCCACAGTCTTGGAAAAGAGCCTAGAGCAATGCTCCTCAGTCTGTGCTCCAAGAATTCCTTTCCTGCCAGATTAGAAATCTTCCACAACTGTTTCTTGCTGTTCTTAGTCCTTGTGCATGGAAGTCTCTGACAGTTGTGTGAATACTTCACAGCGAGTGAAGCTTTTGAATGGGAATAAACGTGAAATTTACAAAGCCAGCTTTTGAATGCTTAAAATGAGCTTGGGAATGCTTTACATCCGCAAATGCTGTGAGGCCAGGAAATGGAAATGGTGTAAGAATTTCACTTCTAAAGGTATGTTTTTAAACACAACCTTTGCTAGAAGGGGCTATGTGAGCATTGTTTAAGAAGTGCTACATTGTTTTTTGAAAATACTGATAGAGATGGAAATGTTCTTCCCGTGCGTGTCTCTTTCACATAGAAACCTATTTGTTTCACTGTCATGGTCAAATTTCTTTGATCTTCTCCCTCAGGTTTATAAGAATGTTTTCTCCCTATTGTTGCAAAGGCTTTAACTATTTAAGCAGAATATAAAAGCAAAGCAATAGGAATTGATAACGTTCTGCTGCGCAATATGGAATCACAGGCAGAAGGAAAACATAAGCTAGAGACTTTCTCAGGCTAAAATGCTTTTGTCTGAAAGTTTTTTTCTAAACTAGTTAAGATTGTCTTAGGTTCAGCTGGGACAGAATTGTTTTCTTCAGAGTGCCTGGTATGATGCTGTGTTTGGCTCTAGGAGAAAAACAACGCTGATAACACAACAGTGTTTAGGTGCTGCTAAGCAGTGCTGTACAGAGCCAAGGCCATGCACAGCAAAAGGCCCAGGGAGCTGGAAGGGAACAGAATGAGGATGGCTGACTTAAAGTGTCCAAAGGGATATTCCATACCATATGGCATGAAGCATGAGTTCTGAAGGGGGTGGGAGTTCATCTCTCTCTCTTCTACTGCCTGGGGGCTAGCTGGGCATTGGTCATCGGATGGTGAGCAATTGCTTGTGCATCACCTGTTACATACATTCACATACATGTATTCTGTGATTTGTCATAACTATAATAATAGTTATATGTAATAAAAAAGAATACTTTTCTCTACCTTAGAAAATAGTTTTATTTCTACTTTGTTTTTTCCAATTCCCTCTCCCACCCCACTGGGATGGGGGCAGTGAGCGAGCAGCTGTGTGGTGCTGAGCCATCTGCCTGGTTAAACCATAAGTCAGTGTAGCACCCAGTGTGGAGCTCCAAGCAGATTTGACCAGAGCGTGTTAACGCAGGGTGTAGTGATGGTTTGATAATTGTGGTCACAATGTTAATTTTTTCCCTATTTATGCAGCTCTGTGGGAGTCTTCTCATGGAACCATATTGTGTAGCACCTTGCTTGCTGCTTGTTTTTCCTGCTGCGTGTTTATCATCTCCGGGGTTGGATTAATGTTTTTATTTTGCTATGCCTTGGCCTGTATTGTGATAAAATTGGCAGCTGAGAAACTGCTGGTTTTTACGTATTCAGCATTGCAATCATCTCTGGGCTATGGAACCCATATTGTTGATACTATCAGTAATTACACACTTTGCTTTCTCTCCTCGGGGAGCCCGGCTATAGAGGAGATAGTGGAGGACACTTTGCAGCAGTTCTCAGCCTTCCTTTCACTTTTCCTTCTTTCCATAGAGCTAGTTACAACAGAGAATTCTGAATGTCCGTCAGATGTTCAAACCAGCATATTCCTATTGCTATGTGATATGAATGTATTTCAAGTTATGTTTAAGATTAAACTATTACTGAAGTATATCACACCCAGAGACCTGCCCTGATGCAGGATAGTTCTGAGTGGCAAAGGGTTTGGGATGATATGGACAGATGCCTAGAGCACTGGGCACTCCCAGAGGTTTGGAACTTCACCTCCGAATAGCTGCAGAATCCTGTATCTAGTAGAATATTTGGAAAAGGTCTACTGTTGCTCTGGCAATCTTAAAAAGGCACAAATCACTGCAGTGTTCTGGGGCCTGCCCTACACCTATCAAGCTCTGTTCAGTGCTGTTCAGCATCCTCAAGAGGAAGAGAATACTTGTGGATCTGATGACAGTGCAACAGTCCCTCCAACTGTGATAGATCCTGCAGGAGCTCCAGTTCCTGAAGCAGGTCCTATGGTTGCTCCAAACATTGAGACAGATCCTGCTGTCACTCCAACCCTCTCAGCAAGCCCTGTGGTTGGTCCAACTCCTATGATGGGCTTTGAGATTGCTCCAGCTCCTGTGATGGAACCTGCAGCTGCTCCAACACCTGCAACAGATCCTGCAGTTGCTCTGACCTTTTTGACAGACCTTGTGGTTACTCTCACCCTTCTGAAGGGCCCTGCAGGTACCACGATCTTCACAACCAGTCTTATGGTTACTCCAACCCCTGTGACAAATCCCACAGCTCAACCAGAGAACCAACCAGTGCCAGTATCTGGCAAGATGAAAAAATCCTTATGAAAGTCAGAAGGTTTTGCAAAGAGAGCTTATATGTTTGGAGAAGACAGAGAAGATGGAGTGGGGCCATCACAAAAGCAGAAGGAAGAGACCTAAACCACCCGACTTTGGACTGAGCTGCGAGATTTGTGAAAGGATTATGGCCATTGTCCAGGTGAGCACATTGCCACTTGGCTGGTGCAGAGCTGAGTTGGTGGAACCAAGAGCCTGGACTTCGTGGGCAGTGAAGCCAAGCAGCTGGGATCTCTTTCTAGAGCAAGAGACGCTGACAAAGCAATTGGAAAAGTCTTTCACCCTATGGTGGTGACTTGTGAGCCGTAAGGGAAAGATATCCCTTCAAGGAAAACTTGGTCGTTAGGCAAATGGACCACCATGGAGGAAGGTGTCCAGTTCTTGAGGGAACTAGCTGTGGTAGAGAGATGATGCGTAGAATTAATTTGGATGATGATACCAAAACTTCAGGATCCAGATAACGTGATGCAGATGCGACCCATGTGGCGGAGAGTTGTACAGAATGCACCATCACTGTATGCCAGCACCCTGATAGGAAGGAACTGGAAAGATGACAAAAGTCCAACAGTAGATGAAGTGGCTATGGCTACTTTGACAATATGAAGATGGTCTCTCTTCCTACTTACAGGCCTGTGTCTCGGCTATGGAGAAACTGTCCCAGGAGGTCCAGCAATTCAAAGATGATATGTCTTGTTCCCCACCTGTGCAAACCCAAATCTCAGCTATTAGTAGTAAGTGTTCCTCTGCTTGAGAGAGAGGATGCACACCGTGTACCATCCTGTGGTTT